GTTTTCTGAGGCGACGAGATGCTCTTCCCTCTTCTTCCGTTTATATTCGTTCACAAGTTGCCGAATTTCCATATTAAGATCCCTGATACTGGGATTTCCGGGATCGCTCTAACGAAGGTTGTCACGCTCATCGGCTAGAACAGCCGCTTCAGCCGAAAAAATCGGACGGAGGTCCGAAATTCATCCAGCTGGAGTGAAGCGAGCTGCAGCAGCAGTGACAACCCTGTGGAACTTACGCTCACCTACGTGAACTGTGTTGGAGTGTGTGTGTCGTGTTGGAGTGTGGTTGTGTTGGTTTTGGCTTGCTCGGGCGAACTCCGGTGTGCCGTGGAGGCGGTCCGATTTGCGCAGCATGGAGCCACGTACCACGCGGTCCACTGCCAGTGAGTTCTTAAGCCCGAGCAAGTGCGGAGGTGGCTCCACCCATTGCAGGTATTACACCTGCCAGCCCTGAGCAGAAGAATACGGAGCAGATGTAGCCCCATTTTCGAACAACGTTTGAGGGATTTCGCCGACCTAAATGGGGTTACATCGCCGAAACAACAGCCCTTGGTCGGGTGAAACCCAAGTCATTCCGGAACGTAGCACCGGCTGTCGTGGGAGGTAGAGGGCATGCTCTCACGTAAGGTCCAGAAGCTGCTACTGAATACTCGCCCCCACTCTCCCGTGCGCTTTGTGCGATTGAAGAGTCTGCGCTCCTCTTTCCTGAGTCCTGAGAGCTCCTGTGAGCACCATTTTTTTTTAATTTAGACCTCAAACTACGCAGGTTAAACCCCCGCTACGTTATACGTAGCCATGTCTGTTCCTGGGGTTTTTCTTGAGATAACCTGTCCTGACCTCAGCTCCCAGTACAAATCGGATTCTGTTATCCTACAAAGAGGGCTCTGGTGAGACCCACCACTAGCTGATCAGAGTGATTTAAGTACTTCCTTATATAACCCTAGTAACAAATGTTGGTCTATGACCGACATCGTATATAAGAAATGTTTCACTAATAATCACGCAGGTTCTGTAATTCACTCCCAAGTGAATTTCAACCCTGCCGATTTGAAATCAAAGCGAATTTGATTGGAATTCACTCGGAAGTGAATATATTCTAAAAGTCACTCGCCTCTAAGACTTGAGTCCGTGCTGCCCCACTCCACATTATGAACGTGCGTATCGCAGCCTAAAATGACAGGAATACACCTCCTCCGGTGTGTTCCTAACTTGGGTTCGCCCAGATCCGAGAGCCGAAAATCGCCCTCGCTACGCATGTCAAGCTAAAACCTGCTGATGTCTGCTATCAGCTTCTGGGTGGTAGGCACATATGCGACCTGGCTGGTGGTGTTGCTTGATTTAAAGGCGTCAGCAAGAGCTGGTGCCTTGATCTAAGCTGGTTACTGCTAAGCCGGTAAGTGGTCGACTCAGTCGCTTTAGCGGCAGTGAGTCAGCAGCCGCATCGACTTGCATGTCTTGCGACTCCGACTCCTTACTGCCTGTCGTCTTATGTCGCTACGGCATTACCGTGGCACGGCTAAACCGGTAGTTGACGTTGAAGACAAGCCTCTCAATGCTAACGTACTACTCCTTACCAATGCCCAGATGCAACCTGTCCCCGCTGTCCTCGGTGCTGCAGGATATCACCTTCCACGTGGAGGTATGGATACTCTCATTCTGGGCCTAGAGCAGACACGTATAGCACAGGACAAAATCGAAATGACAGGACAAACTTGAGTCTAAGGTAGATGAGTTGCAAGGTCGTATCCGTGATTTGCGGTTGAATTGTCCAGCTACTTCACGAACACTCCTAAGGTAAAGACTCCATCCTTGGAAGGCACAATTCCTTCCCAGGTCTTAAAGCTCCAGTTCGAGAAGACCGCTACAGCAAACAGTTGGAGCAAGGAGAATAAATCCGCTGCGCTTTTCGTTGCATTAAAATGAACTGCAGCGGAAGTCTCGAAAACTGTTCCGTAGTGTCAAAGGGAACACTGCGATGTATTGATGGGTGCTGTGGAAAGGCGTTATGGTTGCGAGCACAGGAGACAGATTTACCAGATGGAATTGGAGAACCACTACCAAAAAGGCAGCGAGCCTGTACAGGAATTTGCCTCAGAGATTCAGGAAACGGCAGCGCTCCTAAGTAGACCAGTCAACAAAGCCCATCGAGTAGAAGTGGAATCACCAGACGTTATGAAAGAAATCCAGGAAACAATTAAGTCTATGGCAGGGAAAAATAGTCCCGGTGCAACCCAGAGAGAGAGATGGTGCTGGAAAATGCTTAAGTTGCAGAAAACCAGGCCACTCGCAAGCGAATGTAAGACGGGTTCTAGCAGTTACAACAGTTAAGCAGGAAGCAAACGCAGGGCTGAAGATGACGAACCCAACTCCAACCAGTCGTTCAACTAAAGCGAGCCAGCAGGAAGGGCCGCGCGCTGGCTCCCGCAATTGAACGACCCATAATCTCCATCTCGAAAATTGACTGAAAGGCGAGCAACGTCGTTGTTGGTGGACGGACATTAGCGAGTACTAACTTTGGATATGACATTTCATTATTCGATATGATTTGGTCACTTAAGAGGTAAGGCCATTGCCTGGAGCAAGGTTGAGGACAGCAACTGGTAGGGACATAAATGCATGGACGGAAGGGTTGGAAGGAAAATTCCAGAACAAGGCTAACGAACTTCTCCGCAGATAATCCAACATATTCGACAAGAATGGAAACAAACCAGGAAGGACCACCGTTCTGAAACATCGCATTGATACTGATGATGCAAGGCCGATTCGTGAAGCTCCTCGAAGTGTTCCACTAGGCAAACGTGAAGCTATGACCCAAATCATAAAAAAAAATTTGCGAAAGTGGTGTAAATGAACCGTCAGCGAGTCCATGGAGTTTTCCGGTAGTACTTATAAATAAGAAGGTTTTCCAAATGCGTGGACTACCGAAAACTAATGGCCCTATTATGTATGGCGACTGATAGCCAATGCGCAATCATAAACTAAAATTCGCATTACGTATGACAACTGGCCTCTGACTGCCGGCTACTGAGTCTAGTAACGCAATTTTCTGTTTCCCACTTATGACGATTTTGTCATTTGTTTACATAAATTGTTAAACACATTGGAGAAAAGTTGCCAATTACATACTTCGAAAAGGACATGACAAAAAAGTAAATTCGGACTTTGTCTGCGCTTTTCTATATACTGCGATTAATCGCCATATAGACCAGCAACTAGACGCCAGTCACCATACGTAATAGGACCGTAATGATGTGACGAAGAACGACAGCCATTTGCCCAGTATTGATGATACTCTCGACTCGTTGACTGGCACGGGATGGTTTTCAACGCTAGACCTTAAGAGCGGTTATTGGCAAGCGGAGGTAAGTGAGGAAGACAAGGAGAAGACAGTATTCAGCGTGGGGTGGGGAGTGTTTTGATAATTCACGGTAATGCCCTTTGAACTATGAAACGCTCCTGTCATTTTTGAAAGACTTTTGGACCATGTGCTTAATTAAGAGACAGCATTTAGTCTGTTCCAATAGCAGTCCGGTTTACAGGATTTAGTCAGAACTTACAGGAAGTCGTTCCTATTGACATAAAACCTGTAAAGAGCGAAATACACAACACAAGCGGCTTGACAAACCAAGCGAAATTTCCCTTTGCTTCAAGCCATTTGAGCTGTCTATGGGGTGTTTGAAGGTTTGACAAACCGCTTGAGGGAAATTTGAGCAAAAATCAAATTTTTTGATTTTCTGGCCGCCATGTTGACGTTTGATCAAACCGCTTGCGATGTGGATGGTAAAATCGCCTCAATTGCAACTGAAATTTCACCAAGTGAAGACGTAAGGGAGAATAATGGTAGAAAACTAAAATGTTTTACATTGTTAACCGAAAGAAAACTAAAATTCTGTGCTTGAACGACTCATGTTTGCATGGTCTATGGCAAAATGGGAAAAGTATGTTTGACAAGCCGCTTGTGTGGTGTATTTCGCTATTAACTGAGCGACTGTTCCTAGTCAGAAGTTACAGGATTTAGTCCGGAGTTTTTTTTCCTGTAAGTTCATGAAAAGTGTCAAACGATCAGCTGATTTGCATGTGCAAGCAAAAACAAACAGCGGTGAAAGCAGAGTAGCTTATATTTGTAAAAAAAATGGAAGTAAACAACGAAATGTTTGAATATGTATAGATTTTAATAATTATTTAGTGATATTTCAGCTAAATCAGTGTTGTACAAATCACATGTAAACAAACCGACTGACGTTTTTACAGGAAATAGTGCTTTTTGCGTTCCTTCCTATGCACTTCTGCATCTGTTCTCCTTTTACTCTCATTTGAGAGAGTAAAATTGTAGTTTGACAGTTCCACAGGTTTTAGTCCGAAGTTCAAAGGAACAGACTAATTGCAGTGGCAACTATCTAAAGAAGGAGAAATCAGCTGACACGGAAAAATCTAAATTCCGCAGATTTCTGCGCTACGGGCCACAACTACAGAAAAATTCTGCGGTGTTGAGTTTTCATTTGCATGGAGCTTTGGTAAGACAGATCGTGTCAGCTGACTCGGGTTTACGTACCGGTAGGTTTACGTTCTTGACTAATTTCAGCTTGGTATCAATGGTATACCAATTGATTGAAAAGTACATTGATATTGTTGAACAACAACAACAACATCCCTATACTTCCGGTAGTGCATTCCAGTGACGTCCGGTAGTGCATCCAGTGGAAGTTTTCCATCTATGCTTTATGCACATATTCGCAATGAAATTTTTAGAAAATGCGTTGTGGCAACTCTGATTGCATTTGTTTTTTCGCCCGATGTATTCTATCATTCTTGGTTTTTTCCTTCCATTTCGTAAGTAATTTCGGTAATTTTCGCTGCGGCCGCATGTATATTTAATAGATTCTTTCATTTGCAT